CACTGCAAGCCAGCCATAGCCCTTTCTGTACAAGTGCACTCTCCAGCCCCGGAAGTGATCCACATGGCACAGCAGACCTCTCCTGACCTGCCCACTGCTCCTCTCAGCAACGTACTCAGTTGATCTATGCCTGTTCTGCTCTCCATTCTGTCTCTGGTGAAGCCTCTCACCACTCCTGCCCCTCTGATTTGTACCCCAGTTCTGTATGAATAAATAAATAAATCTTTTAAAAAATATATGAAGTTTCTGCATGACCAAAATAATGTTAAAAGATAAATGTTGGTCAAACTTTTACAAAGTAAGTGAGACAAAGGTTTACATGGTGGCTATTTTGCAAAGATATGACTGTAATAACTGTTCTCAGTCCTATATACATGAGTCTTTGCAATGTTACTTTACTGGTTCTCCCATAAAGAAGGAATCTGAGCTGATGCAGTGAGTCCTTTGAACAACAGAATATAGTAGAAATGACTTTGTGCAAAATGGTCATGGGACCTTGCAACTTCTGCTTTACTCTCTTACTGCTCTGAATCCACCTTATAGACCTGTGTGCAGGCACTCAAGGATGAAAGACTATGTGGAGAGAGCCTAAGTGACCAACAGCAGCAACCATTGGACAAAACATAGGGTTATTATGAACCAATTAACTTATGTCAAGCCAACAGAAGTTTGCAAACACATGAGTAACCCTAAGCTAGATCAGTGCAAGAATCACACAGCTGAGCCCGGAGTATGTTGTTTACATACAAACTCAATAATAAAATGATGATTGTTTCAAGCCACGAAGCTTTGGGATGGTTTGTTATGTACCATTAGCTAAGTGGACAGTTGTCCATAATTTATGAAGTATTTCAGTGAAAACAGCAAACAGGACCTCAAAAATGGTCAGGCAAGTCATGTAACAAATGAAATGTTGAATCAAAGCTATTGACTTGAATCAAAGCTGGATGAGGTTCACTGATGAAACAGAACAAGAACTTAGGCTCCACAATCAGCCTGCCTGGATCTGTATACTTGTCCTTCCACCATAGGTGTGTGGTCTTGGGCAAGTTAGTCAATTCTCTCTGGGCTTCAATTTCCTCATCTGTAAAATGGGCATATAAATTCTTTACATCCCATACGTCTTTGTTAAGAATCTTACATTCCAGGCTCTCCCTGGTGGCACAACGGGTTAAAGTACAGCACCATGGAGGTATCAGCAGCCACTGCTGCACAAGTTTGATCCACGGCCAGGGAGGTGACCAACATGGAGCAGACCCACATGGCATAGCAGATCTCTCCTGTCTCGCTTGCTGTGCCTCTCAGTGGTGTATTTCAGTAGATCCACTTGGTTTGCTCCCTACGTTGTCTCTGGTGAATCCTCTCACTCCCTGCAACTGTGGTCTACACCCAAGTTCTTGTATACATAAATAAATAAATCTTAAAAATAAAGAAACTTACATTCCTTAGTAAAAAGATTGAGTTAACACAGTTGCATTAACTACAAATTAGTGTTGCTTGAAGCACTGAGTAAAGTTAATCTATTTACTGAATGTGAGGAATAAAAATGATATATGGCCCTCCCTGGTGGCACAGTGGGTTAAAAAGCACAGCACTAAGAAGCTAAAGCCACGGCAGCATGAGTTCGATCCCCACCTTCCCTGGAGGAGATCCACAAGGTGCGGCAGACCTCTCCTGACCCGCCCACTGCTCCCCGAAGTACACAGTAGTGTACTTGGTCGATCTGCCTGTTCTGCTCCCCACTCTGTCTCTGGTGAATCCTCTCACCACCCTGCACCTCTCACCTGTACCCCAGTTCTAATTGTATAAATAAATAAATCGTTAAAAAAAATGATATATCCACATGTATGCTGAAACTAACAAAAATATGTTAGATCATGTTCATATATGTGTGTATAATATACATGTATATGTGTGTGATGGATTTATATGCACATGTATATGTATGCATATCTATTCATGTTTGATACCATAGAACATATGTGCTCAAAAATGTAATTGTTAGATTTTTCTTTCTCTCGTAGCCCACATGATATGATAAATTTACCAAGAACTTGGAATATAAATTTTCCTCAAAGACTTTTCTTTACATCATAAATTAACAAAAAGTATTAAGCAGCTTCTAGCGGTGCAACTTTGGAAGTTGCAAGTTACCTAATTCGGTTTTTTATTTTTATTTTTATCTTTGCAAGGATATTGATTTTGTATATAATTCAGGGCATTTTAAGGAGATTTAAGATGTTTATATATATAAAGCACCATGAAGACTGCCTGACATATAAAGAGCACTTGACAAAGCTCAGCTATTGTTATATTTATTCTCACTATTATTTTACTGGATGTCCTTGATAGTTTAAAAACAGCAGATCTTAGGCCCTACCTGGTGGCGCAGTGGGTTAAAGCACAGCACTGAGAATCTAAAGCCACTTCTGCATTAGATCGATGGTCTGCCCTGGAGGAGACCACATGGTGTGGCAGACCTCTCCTGACCTGCCAGCTGCTCCCCTCAACAGAGTACTTTGTAGATCTGCCTGTTCTGTTCCCCACTCTGTCTCTTGTGAAGCCTCTCACTGCCCCTGAGCCTCTGGCCTGTACCCCAGTTCTGTATGCACAAATTAATAAATCTTTAAAAAAAAAAAAAAAACAGCAGATCTTAAATAAGGGTGCATTACTTTTTAAATGACCCCCAAGTATACTACAACTTTAAGCTGTAGTGTACTTCTGAGGTCAGTTTCATATTCTAGAATGTGTGAAGCAAAGATAATAATGAAAGCAATGAGTATAAGGATTGACTAGGTTTCTAGTTGCAAAGAATGAATTTAGCAGCTTAAGATATCATAGGGTCAACAAATTGAGACAGAGTTTAAGATTGGTGAAAAACAGCCAGTAAAGAGAAAGAATACAGGGCCCACAGTTTTGTTTTCAAGTACACCTGATACCAGTGAATCCAGTTTCTGGGGCTGAAAACAAGAGGCAAATACATGTCTTTTGCAGACCTCCTCACTTGGCAGTACAATTTCAAACGCAATGCCTTCATAGAGTTAGAGGGCCAAAGAATAACTTCAGTCAAGAATATAAAACTTTTATAATGACAAATTATAAAAAAAAAAGTCAAAAAATGTAAACTAAACTGTTAAACTCATTATTCTGCCGGATAAACGCACTGCATGGACAGAACAAGGCAACATTATTACAAGGTAAACTGAAGCTGGTGGATTAGTAACTACTTGCGAACCAAGATACTCCTAGGGGCATTACTTTTTTTGTATCCTCATTTCGTTTGCCCTCTTGGGACAGCTCTTCATCCAAAGGCTCTTTTGAGAATTTAATCCACTTCCTCTTTGCAGTCTCCACTTCCACCAGCTGCTTCTCTCATTACCTTACTGTTCAGGCCAAAAAGGCCAACCCCAGGTTATTCTAATGATAGCAAACACCTCATAAAGAAATCTGCCAAATTTACTTTTCCATAGAACATCATTTTTATGGCTTTTCATGAGTCCATGAGGAGAGAAAGCATCATGAAAAAATATGACTTCCAGAAATCTTGAAGATATTAAGAATGATTCCCAAGTGTTAGACTGGCAGATGCACCTCAGTCTACAGAAGGCAGTACTTCAGTTTCCACACAGAAGAGAACGCCACTCTACCTGTCTGTTCATAGGAGAAATTGAGAGGACCCCCGAAGATAGGCCATTTTCAGAAATGTTCCAAATTTAAAAGGACTTTGGGTCCTTTCCCATTCCTAGTTTTGTATTTGTGTGCAAGGGTTTGAATTTATGTTTGTGTCTAAGACCTTGGTGTTATGAATCAATAGTTTGCAAAGTGTGATCTCTGACAAGTTTCTTATCCTCTCTGCATCTGAATGGGGGCATATTAACAATATAGTATCTCATTAAATCAGTTAAATTCTGCAAAGCACATAAAATAATCTCACATAGTAAGCATTTTAGGATTATTTAAATATAAATTCTCCTCTCTTTCTTAATTGTACTTTTCCCCACTACAACATACCTAAAGATGAGAAAAAATGTATCAGCGGGGCAAAGATAGTAAAGCCCTTTGGGAAAATGAATAATGCTTATCTCCACATTGCAGATTACAGATTCTGAGGGATTAATTTAAGGAGGAGATTTTAGGAGTCAAAGGATACCGCTGCTTTACTGGGAAAATCCTGGTGACGTCTACCCAGGCTCCAAGCTGAGAGTCCACACCTCTAAACGCAAAGAAGGGGCTCTTTCCAAAGAAGCGGCAGAAAATCCCTACCGCTGCAAAATAGAACTCACCTTAAGCCTGACGCCCACTATAGCAGATAGCGACCCTGCCTTCTGAAACAGAGTGACAGAATGCTATTCCTCAGGTGATGGTGAACAGGGACAGAACTTTGCTGCAACTTTTAAAAATGCAGATATCCTCTGCCCGCAACAAGGCAGGTGCCTGGACGCAAAGCCTTCGCGGTAGACGGGACTCCGCAGTCACTGGAGGGACCCCAAAGGGCCTCCGGGAACACGTGGGACGAGCTGTCTAGCCATCCATCCTCCTTGGGAAGTTATTTCCTGACTGTTGAGGTTGCTTCTTAAGTGGTCGACTCCGGGAGGGGTGGTCTGTCTTCCTATCTGTGGGGATTTTATCCTATAGTAAAGTCGCCTTCCATCCCCCACTCTCTCAATCTTGACAACCAAAGACAGGCAGTACCCCAAAGAAAACACATGCATACATACGCCACACCTTCTCCCATCCTGAGTCTAGCATCTTCAGACACCTGATTTGCGAGCGACCTGGAGGAACATGTCTGCCAGATTTTGGAGCCGGGTCCAGCCTCCAGGCACAGACCCCTGCTTCGCCTCTACCTTTGAAGAGTTGCCCCAGCAAAACCGCTGCCAAAACAGTTGCTCTAGGGAGGGGCGAGGACCCGCCTCCCCGCTAGCATCTGGCGCGCGCCTTCAACACCCAGCTACCCGGTCCTTGCTGCCGCGCGCGCCCCTCTCCGGCAGCGCACTCACCTGCAGCTGGGTCCGGTTGGCTTTGCCCGCAGCAGTGTCGAGCTCGTCCGCCGCTCCCGAACCGCGCAGCACTGTGATGTGTAGCGTGAGCAGCAGCAGCCCCAGCAGCAGCAGCAACTCGGCCGCCAGGCGCACCATCCTCTTGAGTCGTGCGGCTTTAGGACCCGGCGCGGCGGGCGGCGGCGGTGGCGGTGGCGCCGGGGGAGGAGGAGTCGGAGCCCGGGACCCCGTGATGAGCAGCAGCCGCAGCAGCAGCCCCAGCAGCAGCGCGG